GCGGGTCCGGGCTGGGGATTCGAACCCGCCACCTTAGGTGTACGTGGCTGGTGCCTTAGCTGGTTGAGCTATAGGCACTGAGCCTACTTCCTTATTTCTAAATAATAAGATTTTACTAATATCTTTTTTTTTTTTTCGAGACAGAGTCTCACTATGTCACCCTTGGTAGAGTGCCATGGCATCACAGCAACCTCCAACTCTGGGCTTAAGCAATTTTCTTGCTTCAGCCTCCCAAGTAGCTGGGACCACAGGCATCTGACACAATGCCCATCTATTTTTTGTTGCAGTTGTCATTGTTTAGCTGGCCCAGGCTGGGTTCTAACCATCCAGGCTTGGTATATGTGGCTGGCATGGAACCTTTACTAATATCTTTGATCAGTGATAGATCGGATTTTATTTTATTTTCTTTCTTTATTTTTTTGGAGACAGAGTCTCACTATGTCACCCTTGGTAGAGTGCCGTAGCGTTACAGCTCACAGCAACCTCAAACTCTTGGGCTTAAGCGAGTCTCTTGCCTCAGCCTCCCAAGTAGCTGGGACTACAGGTGCCTGGTACAATGCCCGGCTTTTTTTTTTGTTGCCATTTGGCTAGGGCCAGGTTTGAACCTGCCACCTTTGGTATATTCGGTAAAGTGCAATGGCATCACAGCTCACAGCAACCTCAAACTCTTAAGCTTAAGTGATTCTCTTGCCTCAGCCTCCCAAATAGCTGGCACTACAGACGCCTGTCATAATGCCCAGCTATTTTTTTGGTTGTAGTTGTCGTTGTTTGGCAGCCCAGGCTGGGTTTGAACCCTCCCACTCTGGTGTATGTGGCTGGCACTCTAGCCACTGAACTACAGGTGCTGAGCCACCTGCTTTCAATTTTTTTGTTTATATACCCAGAAGTTGGGATTGCTGGATCATATGGTATTTGTATTTTTTAAAAAAAAATTTTTTTTAAACAGGGAATCTTTTTTTTTTGCAGTCTTTGTTCAGGGCTGGGTTTGAACCCACCACCTCCGGCATATGGGGCTGATGCCTTACTCTTTTAAGCCACGGGTGCTGCCCCTGTATTTTAAAATTTTTGAGAAAACTCATATTGTTTTCTATAGCAGTTACCAATAGTGCACAAAGGTTCCAATGAAATAATACATTTCTTTTTTTTTTTTTTTTGCAGTTTTTGGCGGAATCTAGGTTTGAACCTGCCACCTCCAGCGTCTAAGACTGGTGCCCTACTCCTTTAAGCCACAGGTGCTGCCCCTCTTTTCTTTTTCTTTCTTAATTTCTTTTTTTTTTTCTTTTGAAAAAAGTTGAGTGTTGCTCTATTACCCAGAATAGAGTGACATGGTGTCAGCCTAGTTCACAGCAACTTCAAACTCCTGGGCTCAAGTAATCCTCCTGCCTCAGTCTCCCCAGTACCTGGGACCACAGGCATGCGCCATCACACCTGGTTAATTTTTCTATTTTTAGTAGAGATGGGGTCTCACTTTGCTCAGGCTGGTCCCTAACTCCTGAGCTCAATAGATCCTCCTGCCTCAGCCTCCCAGAGTGCTAGGATTATAGGTTTGAGCCACTGCACCTGGCAGAAAGAATATATTTCTTAAAAATTTTGGGCTCGGCGCCTATAGCTCAACCGGCTAAGGCGCCAGCCACGTACACCTAAGGTGGCAGGTTCGAATCCCCA